TCCTCCACCTCTTTTACTTTCCTCTCTATCTCATCTAAAACAATGAAAATCGTAGAGAAAGGGAAAAGGGAGATGGAATGGCAGCAGGACTTGGGAAGAGAGACACATCAGGCTACAATAACTGGGGCCCAGGGCTCTAGGGAGGCCCCTCAGTGCTTGAGTCGGGGGCAGAGCTGCAGTGCTTGGGTTATGAGCAGGGCCTCTATTGTGTTTGAAGCAGGGGCAGGGTTACTGTGGTTCAGTCAGAGGGTAGAGCTGTAGTGCTCAGGTTGGGGTGAAGCCACTCTAGTTGGGTCAGGGGTAGGGCTGCAGTACTTGGATCAGGAAGTGGGACTACTTTGTTCTGTTGATCCAAGGGCTAAAGTCTGGGTCAGGATCAGCACTGGGGCCAGGGATTCCTGTTCTCAAATCCTGGGTGGTAATACTCATTAGGGAGCACTTTGTAGTGTCAAATAAAGCAGATATCTTAGAGTGGGCAAGGGCAGAAACCATTCAGTTAAAGTTGTGAAGCAACAAGGATATTATCATACTACTAGGCATATTCAGTACATTATATTATTGGGTATATGCCAGCATATAATACTGGTGTGACTGAGAAGCATTGGGCAGAGTCACTGCCACCAATTCCTCTTGTTTTTGTTAAAGTTATTCATACCATGTGAGGCAGAATGCCCACATCAAATTTTTGACAAAAGAGACGCTTGGCCTTGTTGAACAGAATATATTCATTACATGGTACTAAATAACTAGTTACATCTATAATCTTTTATTCATTCATGGAATGTGTACTACGCTGGCCAGGGCAGCATTTATTGACTATCCCTAACTGCCTAAAGGGCAATTAAAAGTCGGCAATGTTTCTGTGGGTTTGGAGTCACATGTAGGGCAGACCAGGTAAGGACAGCAGTTTCCTTCCCTAAAGAGAAACCAAATGAATTTTTCCCAAAAATCCACAATGGTTAATATAAGATTTTCTCTTGTGAGAGATCAGGCACATCTGAAGAATTAGTTCACATTACTGTTAGCAACATTGACTTAACACTAGAGCAAGTGGTACAATGCACTGGTTAAGTCCTTGCACTAATAGTCTCATATTCTAATGGGAGGAGCTGATTTCGGGTTGCCAGTTAACCATTTTAGTTACTAATTGCCTATACAACACTGTAAGCTTCAGAATGGTGTTCAGTTTGTTGGGCATTGGCACTAGTACTGGGGGAGAAGGGAACTGGTCTGAAGGTGCAGGCTTCACTTGAACCGTGCTGGGACCAATGGCCCAGTGAATTGAATAACTAGGGTCGTAGAGAAGGCTTTAAATTAATTAGAGAGGGGAGGGTGTGGGAGAGGGGAAATGTAAATTTACAAAACAAAAAGATATGGCAGCATTACAGGGCAGCTATTTGGATACTAGAGTTTCTAAACATCAAGCAATAAATAAGGTGTAACAGGTAACAAATGGTAAAAAGGCAAAATTAAGGGCCCTTGAATGCACATAGTATTTGAAACAAAATAAACAACTTAACTATACAATTACAGGTAACAGATATGACTTTATAGCTGTTACGGAGACATGGTTACAAGGAGATCAAAGCTGGGAACTAAATATTCAGAGGTATATAACTTTTCAAAAGGACATGCAGGAAAGAAAGAGTGGTGGAGTAGCATTGTTACTGCTGGATGCAATGAGTACGATAGCAAGAAATGATCTTGGGTCAGAAGATTTAGAATCTATATAGGTGGAGATACGAAAGGGAAAAGGAAGAAGACACTGAAAGAAGTAGTCTATAGGCCCCCAAACAGTAGCTATATGGTGGAACAAAAAGATCAGGAGATAATGAGGGCATGTCACAAAGTGGGGTGATGACTACATGGTATTATTGCTAGACTACTAATCCAGAAATTCAGCTAATGTTCTGGAGAGTTGGGTTCAAATCCTACCACAGCAGATGGTGAAATTTGAATTCAATAAAACATATCTGGAATTTGGAATGATGACGATGAAACCATTGCCAGTTGTTGGATAAGCCATCTGGTCCACTAATATCCTTCAGGGAAGGAGACATGGTTACAAGGAGATCAAAGCTGGGAACTAAATATTCAGGGGTATGTGACTTTTCAAAAGGACTTTTCATACAGGAAAGAAAAAGTGGTGGGATGGCATTGTTAGTGCTGGATGGAATGAATATGAAAGCTTCTTTTGATGCCTCCTGCTGGATTAAGCGAAATGTCTTTCAATTTGCTATTGGGAAGACTGAAGCCATTGGCTTTGATGCCTACTGCAAAGTCTGTTTGCTAGCTCTTGATTCTGCCTCTCTCCCTGGCAGTTCTTTGGAACTAAATCTCATATTTGATCCTGCAATGTGCTTCCAACCCATTATCGACACCACATATTTCTGAACATCATTGCCAGACTCCATCTCGCTTCAGTTTTTTTGATGCTGAAACTCTCATGCATACTTTTATTGCCTCTAGGCATGAATAATACAAAGCACCCAGGCCAGCATCTCATATTTGATCCTCCCTAAACTTGAGGTTATCTCTGGTGTCCATGTCTTTACTCACAATAAGTCTTGTTCATGGATCATTCTTTTGCTCACTGACTTACACTTGATCTCAATTAAACAATGCCTCAAGTCAAAACTTTACATCTTTGTTTTCAAACCTTTCATGGTCTTACCCCTCTGCCTCTCCCATCTCTGCAATCTCTTCCAGCCTCACAATCCTTTAAAATATGTACACAAATTCTGACCTCTTCAGCATCTCTGGTTTTAACTGTTCCTCCACTGATGGCTGTGTCTTCACCTTCCTGGACTTTAGCTCTGGAATTCTCTCTCACCCTATTTCTGTCTGTTAAGAACAGTGGTGCCTAAACTAAACATTGCCAACCACAATGGGATCGCAGAAACTTTGTACACAAAAACACACACCCAGCTCACAGATTGGAACAGATTGTATCTCAGGGCTAACACAGTGTGGAGCTAGACGAACACAGCAGGCCAAGCAGCATCAGAGGAGCACGAAAGTTGATGTTTCGGGTTGGGACCCTTCTCCAGAAATGGTGGGGGTTGGGGGGGGAGCGTTGCGGGAAGGGAGCTCAGAAATAAATAGAGAGAGGAGGAGTGGGACTGGCGATGGTAGGTGGGATGGTGATAGGTGAGTGCAGATAGGGAGTGGTGGGGATTAGTCAGTGAGGTGGGAGGAGCAGATAGATAGGGGAGAAGATGGACAGATAGGGTCAGGTAAAGGAGGTGGGCATGAGAGGGAGGGTTGGATATGGGATGAGGCTGGGAGTGAGATGATTTTGAAACTGGATCTCAGCACTGTTTGCTTGCTCTGAGGAAGGGTCACTGGATCTGAAATGTTAACTCCTCTTTCCCTCCACAGATGCTGCCAGACCTGCTGAGATTTTCTAGCAATTTCTGTTTTTTTGTTTCCGATTTCCAGCATCTGCAGTTTTCTTTGTGGTCTCACTGTGCCCTGGTATAGGCAGCCTTGTCCTGCCAATGAGAGAAAGGAGGGATTGAGTGAGATGAGCATGGGCAGCACGGCTGGTTAGTGCTTTGGCACTGGTGGGCAAAAGATGGGTGAGGTGAGTGAGGAGGCAGCACAGAGACTACACAGGTTAGTGATGAGGGAGATTGAGGAGCGTGAGAGTGGGTGTGGGAAGATGTAGTGGACATGCATGAAAATGGAAAGCATGTGCCTTTGCGGGAGATGGGTGTAGAAGCAGAGATGGAGTGAGTGTGAGGTAGTAGAAAGAAGAGTATGGTATTTACCCTGGTGGGGTAGAGACAGTCATTCAACCTTCTAATGGCACTGCTGGGCATTTCCACCAAATTATCATTACGGCACTGACCTGTATGGTGAGTTTGGACCAGGCTGGCAGGGTCCGGTGGCATGGCCACCTCTGCCAGTCCCCTAGGAAAAGGACAACCTTCCTATATACCATTCCCTCTCCAAGGGCCTCCCAGGTCCCTGCTGGAGAATCACAACACTATGATCCCCTTCTCAAACGTCTTCACAAAATGTCTCTAACCAAGCAGGATAGCTTCAGAATGCCAGTGCTCCTCCAGCACACAACATCCATTTAAAAATGGCACATGCACAAGGGACGTCAGTCTCTTATCAGATACCGCTGAGTGGTGCATTGTTCTAGTAATGGTGTGTGCAAGATGGGGTCAGAATCAAATATGATGGACGCCATGGGGCGGGATAGGTAATGAAGCATTTAGTAAAATACAGCGAGAGAACACACTAGGCCTCACAACAAAATTTATTTACAGGATTCATCGAGGCAGTAATTATGCCAATATTCGAGATGGAAAATGAAACAGGGTGGGTATAAGTGATTAAAGCATTTTTCTCACATGTGAGGCATGTACTGACATGACCTAATTGGAAGGATGAGTGATTGCAGTACTGTAACTTTTGTTTGTTCCTGTGCATGACTTATTTTGCTACCAACATTATGTCTCCATTTACTTCAATGGATTGAACACTATTGATTTTGGAAAATTAAAAGCATGAGAGAAAGTTTCAAACCTAAATTTTTCAGCAATTTCTTGCTGTGAAGTTACCTTTTTTTTATTTAGTTGGGACACCTAAAAATGATAGCCGTCTCAATTTTATCACAGGCAGTGGGGTTTCTGTAAAACTGTTTGCTCGCTATGCATGGGATTTCCACATTGTAACCATGTAAGGAGTATTCGTTTGATAAAAAACATTTGAATGTGTTGAATTAACATAGTAATTATTAGATATTGTCAGTGACATGATCCAAACTGATGTTTGGATGCTATTTCCGTTCATGACCTTGTAACTAAATTAATAAGATTACATATTTATATAGTCTCAAGGCGTTTAACAGCCAATGAATTAGTCGGTCACTTTTGTAAAGGAGGAACATGACAGCTAACCTACACTAACAGGGACTTTTTCCCAGTTGAAATGCTAAAGATTTAATTTTCCACTGATGCATTGTCTTCTCTTGTGGTTTCTTCCAGCGGTGTGATTAACACTTCGGGAGGAGTAGTTCGTCTTCAGAAATCACCAGGACAGGAAAACTATCAATCTTCCACCGCAAATGGGATAAGATCGTTGCCGCTTTCTCGATGGATGACCTCCTTTTCAGTCTCCAGTGAGCAGCACTTTATTATCCTCAAAAATTTCAAATAGTCAATAAGTTGGGGTGAAAATTCAAATACAAAAAGACAAACTGCGGGAAGGTGAGCAGAGCCATTGTTTCCGTAGTCTATAATTAGCTGACTGCCAATGAAGCTATACATTTTTATTGCAAATTTTCTGAAAACATTTGGAAAAAAAAAATGAATTAGCAACGGCTTATGTACTCCAACCAAATATAAACTCCTGAGGTGTATTTTGAAAAGTTGAGCGGCGCGCTATCACCAGGAGAAAACTGCTCAACAATAGGTTTCTGTGGATTTGATTAAAGTATTGTGGAATATGTTTGCTTTATGTCAGCAGTGGTAAAGGTTGCAGTTCAAAAAAAACTGTTCCAGTTCAGTCTGGAGGATATTAATTGCCAAGTTAGGCTTCTTGAAAACTATTTATTTAAAAAATAAATTTTGCTTTCATAAGCGCAACAGCTGATCCTCTGTAAAAATACTCATAGGAACCATTTGGGGCCAAAAGTAAGTAGGCATCGACTGACTAACCTTTCCCATAACAGAGCTGTAGGTTTTGTCCAGAAGCCGGGATTTTGATCTTGCCATGAACTGTGAGCAGGTGAGTCAAGATTTCAGGCAGAAGTTGAATTTTTAAATGAGAATGTTTTAAATGTGATAATTAAGTTTGAATATTCAGTTCAACTTTTAGATTGTTAACGTTGTTTCAACTTTCATAAAATTAGCAAGTGTGAAAATATGTCACCTATTTTCTGTGTTCAGAATCTGATTGGTCCTTGCTAACCATATAACTAATGAAATTAGCAGCTTATCGCATGTTCACCAATGATTCACAGGAAAATTAAAAGGGGATAAATAGTCATGAACCCCACTTGCATTCAGACATTATAAGGATAGATTTCACACGACAAACATATTCACACAAATCGATTACTGTTTCTCATAGTTATACAGGAACAGAAGAAGCTGGGAGTGCATGTGCATCAAAGGTGACAGCATGTATTGAAGGAATGGTTTGCAAAGTTTCGGGGATCTTTGGTTTCATAAATAGTGGCATTGAGTACAAAAGCAGGAAGGGTTTGCCTAGCCTTCATAAAACTCTAGTGAGGCCCAAACTGGAATAATCACCACACTGTCAGAAGCATGAAAGGGCCTTTAAGAGGGTGCAAAAGAGATTTTCCAAACTTGTTTCAGCCACTTGGGGATTTTAATTACAAAGTTAGGTTGGGAAGCTGGGGTTATTCCTCTTGGTGCAGGGTAGATTGAGGGGAGATTTATAGATATGTGCAAGCTTATGACAGATTTGGGTGAAGTAGACAAGGAAAAATAGTTCCCATTGCCTCATAGTGCAAGGACCTGAGAACACAGATTTAACATTCTGGAAAGAGATGTAGGGAAATGCGAGGAAGAACATTTCTATGCTACCCACGAGAATGATTTCAAAAGAAAGCTAAATGGGCACTTTAGGGAAATTAACCTGCACAGAAAAGGAGACCAAATGCAAGAGTGGGACTGACTAGATTGCTCCAACAAAAGCAAGCATGGGATCCATGGGTCAAATAGCCTGCTGTAAATAATTCCTTTACTCTTAATTTACCTGCAATCTTAAATTTAGTTTCTTCTGCAGAAATTGGAAGGAAAGCACTTGAGGTATCTGGATCACCAAAAGCTACAGTTGTTCCAACTGCTGGTTTGTATTGTTCAACCGGAAATCCCAGCACACTGTATTTGCCTAATTAGACTGGAATTCAATGCACTAAAATCTGATAATACCAGTTTCACTTTACTAGATATAAATCAATTTCGTCCAATTTTCCAAGTATATTTGGTTTTTATTCCTATTTTGAGTGGGTAAAAAATCCCCAAACCTAATATCAACTTGCCTAAAATCCTGTTTCTTTTAATATTGATTACTTTATCTTAATCATCGTAAGTTGTATTATAACTCCAGCAGCAGGTTGTCAGTTAAATGATTGGTAACATTTAGAAAAAGAAACGAGAGGTTTTCTGCAAAATGATTAATTGTAGTTTGAGTTTTAACATTTCCTAAATACTGGTTATATTAAGATGAGGCATATTGAATATTATCAGGTTTTCTTAAAGATATCAATATACAGGGGGTGGTAAGAGAAGGCATTCTCTGGAACCCTACAGGCTCAGACACCAGAGATAGAAAGAACTGCAGATGCTGGAGTTGGAGTCAATACAGTGTGGAGCTAGAGGAACACAGCAGGTCAGGCTGAAAATTTTTTTGGAAGGATGAAGAGTCTAGGCCTGAAACATCGACTCTCCTGCTCCTCTGATGCTGCCTGACCTGATGTGCTCCTCCAGCTCCACACTGTATCAACTCAGACTCCAGTTCCATTTGATATGACTTCATGATATAACTCCTTATGCTCAGCAGCTAGTAACCCTTCATTCTACATATCCCATGTATTGCACCTCCCCAGAGGACCAGACCAAACCCTCTCAAAATATACTAGGAAGGTAACCTGCCTAACTTTTTCTTATTTTAGAGGCAAGTGCCAGATGTTGTGTTCCAGATGCCTTTCGATTGGTCAACTACAGTCTTGAAGCAAAACACACTTCGTTCATACACTACAGTTAAAATAAACCAAAGGAAGAATTGGAATAACTTAACTCTATTGGAAAACTTTACAGAATACTAGATTAACTACTAAATGGTAACTGTCCAATATAATAACATCCCATAAACACACCCTTGGCAAAGGCAAATTCAGTAAAATAGTTTGTCTCACACATAATTCTCCAGTCCAGGAGAAAAAGCATCAAGAGAAAACTTAGAGAGAGTAGTAGGGAGTAATGTATTGAAACTTCCAAACCCAGCTTCGAGACCCCAGCAACTGCTACTGAAAAACAAAAGCTAAAAATCCTGATTCTGTGGGAGCTTGACCCCACCCATTCAGGCTGCTTCTATTGTTCTGAATTTAGTAAAAAAAAACCCAAAGACCTCACAAACTGTTTACTTTATGGGCATTGAAGCAAACTGCTCAGTGCCTCTGTCTTGACTTTTCTTCGTTTGAAAAAGAAGGACCAAATACACCTGTTAAAGCCATAGTATCATCACACACATAAACACGCTGACATTTAATCTTGAACATTCCCTCCCACAGCCATCTCTTTCACTTGAGCTACTAATCTCCAACAGTATCTCTCTTGGATATATGATATACATATGGGATGTACATGCTTCCTTATCCCTGTCTGGGAGGGTGGATCCAAGAATGGATGGCAGCTTCTCTGCAGACAAGCGGATTTCCGGAACTCCTTGAGAAAGTAGAAGTGCATCATTGTTGATAAGGAAGTAGGCTCCTGGACCAGGGTCTATCAGAAGCTCCTGTGTGCCACTGCAGGCTGGATGGCAAATTGCTTTATTTGCCCACCCATTTCAAAATCTTTTTTTTAAAAAAATTGTCCTCATTTGGAAGGTGATGTGTCATTCACATGGACATGATTTAACATGATAGTCTTCTGTAAACTTAAACAAAGATTTTTGTTCTTGGTCTGGAGTTTATTTCTCAAACTTAAGACTTTCGCTTATTAATTGGAGAAGCAAGATTTCCTTGGGAATTTCCATAGTGATTTTGGAACTTTGAATATTGCTGCAAAAGAGGACTTTTCCTCTATCAACGTATCTTTTTATTGTGTCATTTGTGTATGAATATTGGCTGTCCCTGACAAGGAGTATTGAAAATCTTCTGTATTTTTTTTCAGTCTCCCAGGCATGATCGCATTGAGAGATTGCTGGACTTTTAAATCAGCAATCTCTTTGGGGCAGTTAAGTTTAACCTGAGTAAACTCTTATGCACGTGTTCAGTAGTTATTCTTAGATTAAAAGTATAGTTAACCCTTTCCTCCACAGAGATTACTACCGTCTTTTTCCTGATCATTTTACAAATGTAAACATTTAGTCAATGCTTTCATAAGCAGATGGAGCTATCTATGAACTGAATCTTGCATCTTTATCCTCTCTCATAGTTGACAGCCTGCTCTAGGTTTAAGAATTAACTTAAAATCAAAATTGGATAAACTGCAAACAAAATTAGTGATGAGAAAATGTGTAGAATGCCAATAACATTCTCTTATTATCTGAGGTAGTGAAAAATATCATGTTGTCAGACCAGAAAGTAGGCCAAATCTATTGCCTGGAATTGTTTACAGGTAGGAATATGAAGCAAAAGGGTGAAATTCAAGGTTGATGCTTCAAGTAATACATCTTTCATTTTCACAACATCTCTTGGTAAACCTTTATAAGTATATGCTTCATATCTTGGGACTGTTGCTCCATGTTCTTTCATAGAATGGTATTGGGATTCAGCTATGTTGAAGTGATTTTTGAAAACAAAGCAGATTTATGCAGGCTTAAAAAGAAAACTGGAGTCTGCAGGCATTCTAGATGTGCTCTGAAATCAGCTGAGTCAGCTTGAGGAATTGACAACTGGTAATATGAGGAAGTGTTTCCCTAACACGGTCTTCTCCTTTTAAATGAGAAGCTATTTTGCATTCAGATTTTTTAAGAAGGGAAACTGCCCATACAATTAAATGTGACATAAAACGTAAAGTGTGCTCTTCTGTTGTAGCCTTTGGTACACTTGAGTTAGTCACAACTCAGTAATAATTACTGCACACAATACAGCGTTCTTGTATAATTGTGCTATATTTGTTCAGAGGGGCAGAAGTCTTTCTTGAGCAGAAACAACCAATTCAGAATTATTGCTCGAGCATAATTATGTAGTGATAGCTGGAAACAAAAGGCTTATCTGTAGTTTCTAAATTTATGAATTTAGTTTCACTAATCCTATGAAATTGGGAAAAATTTAATAATATCAATCTGAAAAGATTGGCAATATCTGTACTATTTTCATGGTCAACTATCAAAATAGAATGTGTGAGACTTAAACACATTTTCCATTATTTAAATACAAATATTTTGACTAATACCAATTTGAATTTAAAGAACACTTTTGTATTGCTTCGATTTTGAATGAATCTTGTCCTGCCTTGGACACTAACTGCTATAATGCCTAAACCAGAAGTGATCAGCTGTTCCAACCAGAGTGTGCCTCCTGCCATCGCACCAGTACAGGAGAGAGCCTGTGGCACAACATTATTGACATGTGCCTGGAACAGGAAGTTGGCACCCACTCTGCCAATGGGCTTGGCTCATTACCTCACTAACAAGAGAGACTCAGAAATCTCACAGACCAGACACACAAGACACAGTTGTGCTTGCCCCTTTCATATGGTCTCTCTTACACAGTATTGACATCTGTAAAATTACAGGTTAAAACGTTCAACAAATGGAACTGTTCCAGCACAGGATTTGCCTTCCTTTCGGTTTTTACTATGGATTTCAGGGAGTTAACTGTTTCAACTCAGAAACTGTTAGACACTCTGAGACCTGGACCCCTTGCTCCCAGAAATTGTCTGTTCAGGCAGCAGTACTCTGTTGTTTTGTAGAGATGTGTTGTGAAACAGTCAAATTCCACACCTCTGTGTATGATGCTCCACGAAGTGGTAATGTTGGCCTTAAACACAGCCATCACACTAACACACAACTCCTTCAGAATAATTTTTGGTGATCAATTCGCTTTTCCTATTAGCGAATTGCAGTAAATTACAATTGGAATTGTTAATCTTGAGCTGGAATAATGAAAGTATCACCAGACCCCTTGGCATTTTATCTTATAGAGCCTTCAGATTTAAGGAACATTCACTACTACCTCAACAGTCAGAGGAGGAGAAATAACAAACATGGATGAGGGAAAACTCAAGAAGTTCCCACCCAATTGATGATCAACTCTGAAGATCTCAGTGTCTTAAAACTCTTTGCTTAGTTTTTGACATTCCATTATTTCAGATAAAACTTTCACTCCAGGAACAAGGAGTACTTCAAAGCTATGCAGAAATATGGAAGGCATACCCCACAATTAGATTTATCTTTCACAAATTAGAGATATGTCACTCCCCTGCGAGACTCACGAACAGAACAAATGCTTTAGCTCAATTGACCCAGGACCACAATTACTGTTGCAACCATATCTCAACGTCCTGCCTATTTCTAAAATGTCTACAGCTGCAGTGAAACACTTATGATTTCTGTATTCTTCCACACAATGGCCCAAATCCTCTCATCTGGGTAGGAAAACACTGCTTCTGACCCAGGTCAGACCAGAAGTTGGCCACTTACTTTTCTAGGAATTCTCCACCCGGATTTCTGAGGCAAGTGTCTTCACAACAGAAGTACTCCATCAAACCATGCAGACAGTAGTGGTGTTAACCATCCCAGAAACCATATCCCTTTCCCCATCCCAAACTCTCACTTTTCTGTAGTATTACGTGTTTAAAAGTCACAAAGCCACCTTAACAGCTAATGAGAAAAGGTAAGTGTGCAAGGTAAGTATGTAAGGATGTAGGGTGGCAAGTGAGTAAAGGGTACAGTCACTAAGTGGATGGAAGGGCAGCTTTCAGTGGCAGGTAAGTGGGTGAGAGAGTGGGGTGTACCCATTTGGGTGTTTGACAGGGATGGAGGATTGGATTGAGTGCCCATGTTGTGGGGTGGGGAACAGGAAACAGGTGTCCAGAAACAGCCAGTCAGGTATTTGGGGATATATGTGGTATAGGTCATCAGAGTGATGGGAGTGGATGTTTTATAGTTACCCAGGGGCTAGAACAGATTTTATGCCTCTAACCTTCCCTGGCTAACTGTTAAGCTAAGTGAGTCAGAACCATCCAACTGAAGTGTCAGAATTGGGGATTTTTTTTGGGGAGTATTCCAGGCACTAGGCAATAGCCCAGGGAAAGTTCCAGCTCCCTAGGTAATTACTGCATACTCAGTGGATTGGGACTTCTGCAAGATCTCGACACACATCTTTCAGGGTACATTCACTCTACGACTACCAGATGATCAGACTAATGCCCTTGTTTGATACTTCATCCCTTACATGTGGAACACAAAGTTCTTTCCAAAGATTTCAGAACCAAATTTGCAATTACAGGCATTGTGTCATTGAATATGTTATTCCAATATAATGCTTTCTGTATCCCAAAAACGCAGGTGAACCACACAAGACATCAGACTTTATTACAACTGTTTCAGTTTGCACCCCGTTTCAAAGTACATACGAGAATATTCTGGGGGGCATTGCTTTTCAAAAGGAAATTCACTAATGGTGAAACTACTCCGTCTCAGAACTAGTTATTTAATTCTAGATTGTATGATCATCTGCATCCATTTCTTTTAATTTTAGACTGTGAGATACTGCAATTGTCTGTCAGAATCTAATTACTGATACAGAGAAAGACTGGGTGGATTAGAGGAATGTTCAGAGAGGATTATTTTGAGGTGTACTTCTGAAAAATGTTCATATAATTGAAAATGCAAAGGACTCAACACTTGTTGCTCTTCTTTATTAAACGGTTCTGATATTTTTAACAAGCTTTCTGAAAAAATGCCCCATATTTAAAAAAAAACCTTCTCCCCTTCTCCTTAGTTTTAATAATGTAATATTTGTAGACTCTGTGCACACATCAAAATATAATGCATAAAAATTGAATGACAACTAATATTTTTCATTATTTAAACATTTTAGCAAGACCAACAAAGAAAAAAGCTGCAAAATCTGGAAAAAAGAATTTAAAAGTGAACAAGGGTAAGGGTCCTTCCATGCTGTGATGAAAATTTATCATATTATTGTTTGGAAATTTGGACTCTACGATAGAGTTAAGTATGTTTTTGTTTTCTAGTGCTGTGAAGCTCTGATCTTTATATATAAGAAAGGATCAGAAAGTCATTTGGAACAATGATCTAATTATAGCCTTTCTAAGAATTCATGTGAGGTAATCTAAATGAGTCAACTACTATTGAGATAATTGCTGATTTTTTGTTGGCTTGCATTTTTATGACTGGAGAAGGGGAGGTTAGGGACCAAGGTAGGAAATTCAGTTTGAAAGAAAATGTCCATAACTTCAGAAGGGCAATCTAGTTTGTTGAAGTCTTCAGGCCAATAGAGTTGGAAGGAAGTTTTAAGCTGTTTTAGCTCAAAATAGGCCTAGTCAGAGAAAAGTCAAGGGTTAGCCAGTCTCAGGATAAACAGAGAGAATCACATGTGGTGAATCAAATGGGGGAATGTGCCAAAATGTGCTCAAAGGAAATACTTGCAGCCACATCAGTTAAATATGAAATGTTAAAGTGAAGTTAGAAGTGATACTTGACAGGAGTTGAGTGTAAAGGATATAACTGGAAAAAGGGTTGCATCTTTCTTTATGCTATTTATGACAAGATCGTGCCGAATCATCTTGTATACACACTGCATTTTTTCTCTTGTATAATACGTTAATGCTCTTTTGTTAAAAGAACACTGAAAGTCTTGTGTGAATATGTTTAATGACATTGCCACCATAATAAGCAAATTGCAAAAATAAACCTTATAGTCTATCAAGCTAGATTTCATGATGGAATCTGACTTGCTTAATATTACCAGCTGGGATCATAAAAAAAATTGGAGCTTGTTCAGCATAGACATCCATTGACTGTAAGAGACATCTGTGAGTCTTTAAAGAAATAAGTGAGTGGAGATACTGGACATTAATAAAAAAAAAACAAGAGTTGTTGTGATGTATATAACATCACAGATTGGAATTTCAAAATGGCAGTAACTGTTACTAAGAATTTTCTGGAAGTACAAGTTTTAAGAATGAACTTTTTGAAATCTTTGACTGAAGCTTTATTGAGTCCATGAGCCAATAAATTGGAAATAGAAATAAAAGCGGGATGTGTCAATGTCATTTCACTTAAAATGATTACTACGTATTTAGAATTAAAAGGATGGCAACCTGAAATGGAGGTGTCACCAATGGAATTAGCTAAGATTCAGTTAGAAATGGAAAAATTTGAGTTAGAAACAAAAAAGAGAAATGAGAAGACTTGAGTTAGAACAAAAAGAGGAAAAGAGAAATGAAAACATATCACATTGGAAGGAAAAGAGAAGAATAGAGCAATGGAAATTTGAGAGATAATAAAAGAAGAGAAAAATGAAAAGAAAACAAGAAAAATTTTTAAAAGTTGCATTGGAAAGTGAAGAGAAAGAAAAATAAAGGGCAGTGGAAGGGATAATGGAATTTAGAAAACTTGAACATCAAAGAGATAGAGAAATAAAACATGACTTGCTTAAAAAAGGTGTAGAGGAAAGAAAGAAAGAGGAGTAGGTAATGCAAAAGATGATTCTATTCCAATGAGGGATTTGATTGAGCTAATTTGAGTAAAATGCCTAAATTTACAAAGGACAGAATTGAAAGACATTTCATCTCAATTGAAATGATAGCTGTGAAGATAAAAGACATTTGGACTTTAGTGCTGCAGAGTGTCTCGGAAGGTCCAGCTATGGATAAGTATACTAGATGATCAGAAGAGCAATCTTCAGACCATGAAGCTGTTAAAAGAACAATACTCATTGCTTATCAGTTTGTCTTTGAAGCTTAGCAATTAAAATTTAGGCCCACATGAAAATAACCTAATGAAACATTTTCAGAATTTGCAATGGAAAAATAAATGTATGGGAGCAGTGAAGTGACGGAAAATTTTTGAGAAATCGTAAGTAGGCTGGGGTTATTTTCCTTAGAGCAACAAAGATAGAGAGGGTGATAGAGATATGTAAGACTATGAGAAGCCTAGATAGGGGGAGTTAGGAAGGCACTTTTCCCATTAATAGAGGGGCCAATAACCAGGGAACATAAATTTAAGACGTATAAGCCTAACAGGAGAGTTGAAAATGTTTTTTTTTTTAAAAACTTATGTAGTGATGGGAATCACCGCCTGAAATGGTGGTTTAGTCAGAAAACCCTGTATAGTCTCCAGGGCCATGGATGAAAAGCTGGAAATGGGATAAGTGTATTCAGAAAAACTGTGAATAATGTAAATCGGAAACAAAAACAGAAATTGCTGGAAGAGCTTATCAGGTCCGACAGCATCTGTGGAGAGAAATCAGAGTTAATGTTTTGGGTGGAGTGACCCAAAGTTCTGAGGAAGGGTCGTTCGAACCGAAACGTTAACTCTGATTTCTCTCCACAGATGCTGCCAGACTTGCTGAGCTCTTGCAGCAATTTCTGTTTTTACAAGTGTATTCAGATCATTTTTGGCTGGTACTTGCCTGGTAGGCAGCACAGCCTCCTTCTGTGCTGTAAACATCTGTGAGTTTAAGTTGTGGTTGAAGTCATGGAAGAAATCCCAATAAAAGGAGTAGATTTTATTGTAGGGAATGGCTTGGCTGGTTCAAAAATAGTGTCCTTATTGTGGGTAGAGAACAGTGAGTAGAGTGAAAGAAAGTGAGATGCTATAGGAGAAACATCCTGGATTGATTCCTGACTGTGTTTTGTCTAGATCTCAGCCTCAAAAAAATGGACAGGAAGAGAAGGAGAATATGAATATGGGAAATAATTTGGAAATTCAGTCATCTATTGTTATTTTTGAAAACTTAAGTGAAAAAAATTGAAAAGAAAGAAGGTGACACGTTTAGAATATCTGCCTTAATTGAAATGCAACAGTTAGAGCCGGAAATGAGAGAGCTTTATCTAACAGCCTATTCTGAAATTGAATCAAATTAATACCTGGGTATTATTATTTAAATGAGGTGTTAAATGAGCGAAAGGGGACCAGGTCAAGTACCAGACAATAAGGAACGGATAGTAGGCTATCAGTGGCCGTTTATTCTGAGTTTCAGAACAAACTTTTAGGAGCGGCTCTCAAAATTCCAATAATATATCCCTTAGATATTAGAAAACACAGGCTAACATTTTTTATTGGCCAGGATTACATAAAGATGGATGTAAATTTTGCCAAAAATACCATACATGTTAGATCATGAGCACAGAAAGTGGTGGACGAAAGTATAGTTACAACGTTTAAAAGACATTTGGATCAGTTCACAAATAGGACAGGTTTTGAAGGATACAGGCCAAGCACAGGCAGGTGGGACTAGTTTAGTTTTGGAACATAGTTGGCCTTGACTGGTTGGACCAAAGGGTCTGTTTCCATGCTGTATGACCCGATGAGGAAATCATTACCATCAATTAAACCTGCACCTTCAATTCCGATACCAGCTTTAAAAAACTGTTTAACAAGGTCTTGGCATCAAAAAACCAGAAATGGGAATCAGTGTCCTTTTTACAGTTATGGATGTTACAAGATTTCCTGAGACAGTGCCTTTGGGGAAAATTATGGCAAAATGATAAATAAAATGTTAGACCAGTTTTTGTTTACAAGATATGGATTACACAAAGAATTGCAATCAGATAAAGCTCCAAATTTTATGCCACAAACATTCAAAAATATAATTAATCAATGTTGTAATGATTGGGACAAGGAATTCCCTTGATACTGTTTGACTTTCGAGATATTTCACATGCACCTGCAGGGTTACGTTCTTTTAAACTCATATATGGAAATGTGGTGAGAAACCTTCTTAATTAATGAATCAAAGAAAAGTTTATAAACCAAAGCTCAGAGACTACACTTTTGACCTATGTGCCATGTTTCTGAAAGAAACTGATCAAAGTGTGAGAGTTGGCCAAATGGTATTTTAAAGATGTTCAACAAGTCATTAAAAATAAATCAGTTGGAGAAGACACAGCTCAGAATATTGTTGCTGGAGAAAAGATGTTAGTACAGCCATCTGTCACTGGGGGTCCATTAAAAAACAAGGTTCACAGGATATCATCAAATCACATATAATCAGTGAGTGTGACATGTTAATACAGTCAGTTCGCCTTTCTGCTCCTGTGATGCTGCTTGGCCTGCTGTGTTCATCCAGCCCTGCACCTTGTTGTCTCGGATTCTCCAGCATCTGCAGTTCCTACTATCTCTCATATAATGCTTGTTTCTTCAACGCAAATTGGTTTTAAAACGACTGAAGAATTTTAGAACACTATTTGTAGAACACAAACTTTCCATACCTGTATTAACTATAATGCGATTCCGTCCCCATCACTTTAAATGTTGCAGTTATTGCACAATTTTCTTATAATGTGAGATCGTACAAGAATGGATATCGCATTATATCAGAACTGACAGTGAGACAATAATGGGAAGATGGACAGGGGAGAATTGTATTTAAGGTGGTGAAAGGATCAGGGAGTGAAATAAAAATTTATAACAATTGGAAAATGATTCAGAAATTGAAAATTCAAAATCCAAACCTTCGGTAATCAAATTGAATGTTACAGAGATGTTTAAAGCATTAAATGGAATACGATGCCATCTCCCAGAAAAACCAGTGAAGCAAGTTGCAAAAGCTTTAATAGATTCATGAATCAATTTTGTAAATCAGCCAGGAGAAAATGACTTTGGCTCTAATTAATGGTAATGTAGGGAATGTGTTTCCCCTAAAATAACACCGTTACAGACTCAACCCAGAGAAGTTAGTTTGAGAGAGAAAAGAGATTACATTTGTAATTGCCAATGACATTATTGAATTGAGTCATTGTAGTTGAGGCTCAGCTATTGTGTGGGAGCTAAAACTAGATGGCTCACAATAACTGTGTATTGATTATTACAAAGTCAACACACTGACAAAAGCAAATTCACATCCAATTGCACAATTAAAGGATTGCATCGAGAGGATAGGCAGGTCCAGTTGGTTGGAAAAAAGATTTGTTAAAAGGATATTGGTAAGCTCCATTGACTGTTACAGTCAAAGATATATCAGCTTTTGTAACACCAGATGGACTTTAGCAAAGTGAAATCATGCTGTTTGGAATGAAAATACACCAGCAATTTTTCAATGATTAACCAAAAAGGTCATCAAGTGATATACAAACGTGTTTTATATATGGACAACATGGTTCCATTCAGTCAAATCTAGAAGGAGCTTTTATAACACTCGAACAAACTGTTTCTTTTTAATATCCAGAAGTGCTCTAACACTGAACTGAATACTTTTTCCCATCACTAAACCACCTGTGGTATTCTTTTACTGATTAACCACCACCAGTGAATCACTCATGTTCTCTGATTGATCAATTTACATGCAAAGCCCATTAAGGCAATGCAGACCACCCAAAGGTATGGGAAATGTAGGGAGAGGGGAAAGGATCCAAATCAAAGTGGAACTAGAAGGGACCATAAAGCACTTTATCCTCTGCAGTACCCATCTCTCTCTCTAAAGACATCGATAGACGACTTTAACAGTTACAAACAGCCAGTTTGATCATAAATCTAGATAAAAGTAGATTTGACAAAGCAAAAGTTACTTATTTGGACCACACTGTGAGACAACCCTGAATAGCACCCAGAGAAGTAAAACAAAGTGTAGTTGAGATTGTCTTTTCCCCAAACCAAAATGTGAATTTCTGCAATGTATTGGCATAAGTGGATTTGATCAGAACTTTTTTTCTGAATTTCAGTGCTTTAGTGGATCCTTTGACAATTTTGTTAAAGAAAGGAAAAGATTTGAGTGGCGAAAAGAATGACAGAGCGCCTTTGATAACTTGGAAGTTATACTGACTACTGCATCAGTTTTAGCAGCTCTTAATTCTGATAAGATTTAAGTTAGCTTTTGATATCACTGACATTGGTGTGATGCAGTGTTACTATATGAGGATGAGATGAGAATTGAACTGCTAGTCAGTTATTTGTCACACAAATTAAATTCATTAACAAAAATATTTGACAGTGGAGAAAGAAACACTGTGCCTAGTAGTGGCTCTACAACATTTTGAGGTCCAGATATCCAATAACTCAGCAGAAACATATTTATAGAGACAGCAATCCTTTAACATTCCACAAAATTTCCTTAATATAAATATTAATTTGTTTCATTGGAGTTTAATACTGCAACCGCATACTTTTTAATTTCCTGCAATATGAATGATTTTTAATGTTATGATTGATAGTTTGTCAGTAGCAAATACGGATGTTGTGATAAAAATGGATTTGTTTAGAATATGATTATGATGAAAATCCTCATGTTTAATGTAAATATGTTATTACTGTTGGTGTAAAATAGAAATAGCGATGAGGACACTGATGGAAAATTGCCTCCTAAAAATATTTTTTTTTGGTGGGGTGTTGCTGGAAGTTATGATCAAAGTTTATAATATATCATTATTTGGGAACTTGAATCTAGCATGATGTTAAATGAGTTTTATGTTTTCAGTGTTGTGAAGGACGGATTTTTTTTTAAAAGAAAGGATCAGAAAGTAATTTAGAGCAGTAGTTTTAAGATAGACTGCCAAGAATTTATGTGACTTAAGCTAAAGGACTCAACAAATGACCTGGTGAGATCATTTATGCTGATTGTTAACTTGCGTCTTAATGACCAAAAAATGAAAACCAGGGGACAAATGGGTTGAGTTCAGAAATGTTCATGAAAGCAAAAGAACAGTTTAGTTTGATGAGGTATTTCAGCCAGCAGAGATGAAAATAAGACTTTAGCAGCCTCAAAGTTGTCCAAGTATGTTATACTGTCCATGTATCTCTGGGAGAGTTAGAGAGAATCTCATCTTGTGAATGTGCAGAAAACGGAAGGAAATGTTTGTAATTGCCTTAGTTCACTACAACAAAATTTAAGATGTCAGAAGTGATACTTCACTGCCTCTTTTTGTTATTTATGATATTTCTAAATTGTCTTGCAAGGACATGTTTTTACCCTTTCCCCCTTTGGGATAATAAACTTATTTTCTTTTGTTAAAAGTACATTGACAGTCTCATACAAATATATCTGTGACTACCCACCACAGTATCTGACTTGCAGTAATAAACTTTACAGTCTGTGAAGCTAGGATGCACTCTGGAATCTGACTTGTCTAATAGGGCCACCTACTGAGATCGAAACAACATCTTGTTTGAGTTGTATTTGTTGAATGAGAAGTATTGAAATGTAATTCTTTAATCTACAGAGTGCAAAGCTGACATTGCTTTCTTGCTTGATGGGAGCTGGAATCTTGGTAAACGTAGATTTGAGCTTCAGAAGAATTTTGTCATTAGAGTCACCAACTCACTTGGTATTGGACCACAAGGACCACTTGTTGGCATTGTACAAGTAAGGTAAACAAAGTGAGAAATGATCGTGCAAAATTCTTTTCTAAATATTTGTATAGTCAGACTTGAGTAACATTTGCAACCGTTAGTAAAAATATAAGCATTATAACCATCATAATCACAGTGTTTCAGTTGCACTTCATGTATTACTTTTGCAGTGAGAATCCTAAAACTGAATTCAACTTGAAAAATTTCACTAATTCAAAGGACGTGGCCTCTGCAATCAAAAACGTGACTTACAGAGGAGGTAGCACCAATGTTGGTGAGTGATATGGTCTCATAACAACAACCTGATTAATATTATTGTCAATTACATATTTTAAATTTGAAAAATTAATACTTTTCCTGTTTTAAGTTCTGTTCTCTTCACTCTGCTTCCCAACACTTGATTAAGATGTTAACCTGGAACTGCAAATTATTCTAGAAAAATAGGGAAGTGACCTCGTAACTACAGAATATTGCTTCACCCGACCCTTTTATTTCCCTTACTGCTGACTGTGCATATTAATCCCTAAACAAGATTGTATGTCAGTGTGTTGATTTCAGAACCAACAATTACAATAAGCACGTACCAACATTCCCTTTGGATAATTCAGCTTTGAGGGATGTCACAATGTATATGATTTCAGTGTAAATCCTGATCAGATCAATTCATGTTGCAGTGCATTGATAAAGCATTATACTGCACCTCTTGACTACTACTTTTATATTTGATGTTTGGATTTTCTTTTTAGGAAGCCATAGTTGGTCTAAACCTTTATTTTCCATTGTCTAGTTGTTCTCTATTACGGTTTATTCCAAAAACAAATAATGAACTTGTTGGTTATCAACAGTAATTTTTTTTTTAAAAATCACAAATGATCTGATTAAATTTGCATTTTTATCAAAAAAATTACCGACAAACATGCTGGCAACAATTTTCAAAATCTAGAAATAGCAAATCATTGTAGTATGAGATCAGATTTCATTTGAAAATCCATTCTGGAAAATGGCTAGGAATACAGGCATATAATCTGAGCAAAGAGTGCAAAAGGTCCCATGGACACATTAATGCAATGCTGCCTGACCCACTGATACATTAATGCGGTTCTCTACCACACATACAGAATGAATTGTTGATGTGCCCTTGCTGAGAAATCAGGTATCGCTTAACCTGCATTACATGATTTCTCTCCTATTCAGTCCTCACCATTCCCATTGCTTGATGATCATTTAACTTACTGCCTACATTCTTTTTCTCTCAATTTTGCATTTTTAAAAAAGCTGCTACTATAATACTTTCAATTAATTGGTCCATTTAAATCTAACAGGTTAATTCTTTCATCGAAAAAGTAAGACACACATTTGCATAGAAACTTTGGGGAAAAAAAGGGAAGAAATTTTAATTCAGTAGTTCAAAAGAAAATTTTTGATTAAATAACAGAAGAAACAAACTACTGTTAAATATTAAAAGAAAGATAAATGCAGATAATCGAATATTTAAAAATATGAAAACATAGAATGAGCAAAGTACAAATCAATGTAAGTTTTCTTATGTAGTTTGGAAGCATTTTGTGAAATCTGCTACTAATTACACAGAAGTTCATTTATTCACTGGTTTCCCAGTTATTAATCACTTTGCTATTTAAAATGTAGGGAACAATAATTTTGAAATTTCTACTGTCTTGGAAAGAATCTTCCTAGCCCTTATAGGTCCTGTCCTACAGAGATATTTCCATTGTCAGAATAGGCAAACAAGTTTCTGTCACTCTGAAAATACCTGTTAGGATGGATGAGAAAGCTATTCAGATGATATTATAAGGGAATGCTTTGGAGCAAACGAAGTGGATTACATGAATGCCGGGAAAAAGTGCTAAGTCTGAGCACTGGGGCAATTTAGAACTCAGAAAAGGATGTGCAAGGAAGTAGATTTTAAAAAGGGAAAAGAGGTTATAAATGTGAACCAATGAGAAACATAAATGTGAACTGTTTCTTTACATATGCAAATAAGAAAAGATTAGCTTGGACAAATATAGACCCATTACAGGTGGAGGCGGGTGAATTTATAGTGGAAAACAGGGAAATGGTGGAGAAACTAAACAATTACCTTCTAACTGTCTTTACGGAGGAAGATTTCACAGAAATGTAAGGCAACCAGGGGATTCATGAAACTGAGGAACTAAAGGAAATTAGTATTAATGCAGAAGTAGTACTTGAAAAATTAACTAGATTGAAGGTTGGTAAATCATGTGGACTCGATAGGCTACATCCCATAATGCTAAAAGAGGTGACTATAAAGATAATGGATGCATTCTATAGATTCTGGAAAGGTTCCTGCAGCCTGGGAAGTGGTACTATTTAAAGAGAGAGGAGAGGCAGAATAGGAGATTTGATATATTGATACTGGCAGGAGGGAAATTATTAGAATGTGTTATAAAGACTGTGATAACTGGGCAATTAGAAACTAGTGGTATGATTGAGCAGAGCCAAGATGGATTTATAAAAGGGAAAACATGTTTGTCAAATTTTTTGGAGTTTTTGAATGATATTACTTGTAGAATAGATGAAGATTAACCAGTGAATATATTTGGATTTTCAGCAGGCTTTTGATGAGGTGTCGTACAGAAGGTTTGTAGATAAAATTAGACCACATAGGATTCAGGGTAAAATACTAATACAAATTGAGAATTGGTTCACAGACAGAAACCAGAGAATTATGATGAGGGTGCAAGGAAACTTCAACTGGACTTGGACAGGCTGAGTGAACAGGCAAGAATATGGCAGATGGGATATGATGGAAATCAGAGTAAGGTTATCCACATTGATAGAATAAAATGAAAGAATATTTTTAAATGATGGAAGCTAGGAAGGGTTGGTGTCCAAACAGACTTGGATGTCCTTGTTCATGAGTCACTAATAGCTAGTAGGCAGTTCAATAATTAGTAAAGAAGCTAAAGGGTATGTTGGCCTTCATTGCAAAGGAATTTGCGTATAGAAGTAAAACTGCCTTACTGCAATTGTATGGTGAGACTGTAACAGGAGTATTGTGGACCGTTTTGATCTCCACATCTATGGAAGGATGTATTTGCCATACAGTATGTGCACGAGAGGGTCGGCAGACTAATCCCTAAAATGACAGGATTATTTTATGAGGAGAGATTGAGGAAACCAGGCCTGTAATTTCTACAGCACCAAAGAATAAGAGGCACTCCAACAAAAACTTACAAAATTCTCACTGGCTGTGATATGGTAAGTCTAGGTAGGATGTTTCCCCTGGTTGGTGAGTGTAGAACTAGAGGACTCAATAGCAGAATAAGGGTTAAGCTATTTAAGACTGAGATAAGGATTTTCTTCATTCAGAATGTGGTGAAGCTTTTGAATTCTCTACCCAGAGGGCTGCAGGATCTTCATCACTGAACACGTTCAAGACAAAAATCAATAAATCTTCAGAGGTTAATGACACCAAGGAAAATAGAGATAGATGATCAACCATGATCTGGCCAAAAGGCAGATTTCTAATGTGAACTTTCCTTAACTCTCTTTCTTAACTTTCTGAACTGGGAATTGGACCTTGGCATGCAATATGAACAAGTGGAAGTGTTAATATGCACTGTCTATTTGTTGCTGTAGAATGGAATCTTGATTTGTGCTAGCACTTGCCATAGATCCGATGGCAATAGAGCACTGGAAATCAAGCTCCACTATACTGAAGGCCATCAATAATGTAAAATACGTCCAATTTAATCAGTGGGATGTCTAATGTCTGGCTGTGACCACTATCTAGGATAAATGGAATTCACACCAGGTTTCATCTATGAATAAGAAAACAAAAACTTATTTATTACAACAGACACCTCTAGCAGGTGGCAAAATGGATTATTAATTACTAATATTCAAACATAAAGTATACCCTCTATAAATCCAAACACACATACATTTATTCACAATTAGGACAGACAAGACAAACAGATTTTCAGAAATATTGTGGCTGGAAAATATCGGCAAAAAGGAACAAAGTCTGTGGATGAAGAGTACAAACAAGGGAAAATGAGGTGACTTTCTTACAGTTCCTTTTGGGGTCTTGATGATAATATATCGTTGTCAACTGTGGTAATTCTCAGTTCAGTAGCTGGTCAGCTGGACCTAGGTCTTGGCTTGAAGTAAAAGTTTTTTTCTTTACAGAGTCTTTGAGTGTTACTTATCTTCCAGTCACGGAGAGAGAGAGAGAGGGAGGGAGAGAAAAAGAGAGCGAGAGGGGGAGAGATCAATCTTCTTTGCTTCCAGGCTTATGGAGATCTCGGTCCAACTGAATCCTCTCCTCTCAGTTCTGTGACAAACTGTTCCTTACAAGTAATCCACAAGCTGTTGCTAGGTAGTTACATCTTCTTCAACCCAAAAGCTAGACTGTCTAACAAGAGTATCAAATTTTAAATAAAAATTACAAGACCTTGTGTAACTGTGATCACACAGTTCCACTTTTCCTTTGGTTATAGTAAAAAAAAACTGGTTCATTGTCAGCAAAAAGCAGTTCAAAACTCCCTTTTCCAGTTTCAGTTCAAATGATATATACATTAGTCCTTCCAAACTATACAACTCTAATATGGCATTTTAAAAATGCTTTTAGACAAAGCATTTTTGACAGCAATCTGGAAAATTCTCCAATGACCAACTACTTTCTCTTTAGTAATACAAACTGGTTCAACAATCTGCAATTATTGGTGGTAATTGCAGCCTGAATTGACAACTCTTAATGACTTCTTGCAGGGCAACGATGTCCTCACTGCAGGAAATTATTATGCACATTCAGTGACAGACTGAATCATTGTTTCTATTTCTAGATTATCAACATTGCTGGTGTTACTGCAAAGCACAGTAAAGCTCAACTGGAGAATGTCCAAAATTCTCTCATTGCAAGATAGAAAGCTTAGCTTTCAGATACATCCCAATGGGAAACAGCTTAGTGCTATTTCAAAGGACTTTATATGATTGGTCTGAAATTCATCCATTACAAACAAGGAAATTGAAAACTAAGTAAACTATAACAGTCACAGAGCTAAATATTCCAAGAGACCTCTATATAATTTCTTGTTGAAATGTAAATTTAAATCTTCTGTATGGTTTATCCCTAACTAATTTTCAACATGCTTGCAAAGTATCCAGCATATTTTCACTTTCTGTTAAAATTTTTACACTTGCAATTTCAAATTTCTCACCATTTTGAGAATGTACTTCTTTAAATTCTTTCTGCCAAAATCGACAATTTCACATTTTCCTCACTATAACATTTGCCAGGTCTTTGCCTACTCTATATCCCTTGTAAGGTCGATAGTTCATCTTTACAACTCACTTCCTTACCTATCTTTGTCTCATCAGTAAATTTAGCTACTATACCTTCAACTCCCCCATCCAAATCATTTCTATAAATTGTAAAGAGTGAAGCATTGAGCCCTGTGGCACACCACTTGTGATATACTGCCAGCCTGAAAAAATCCATTTATTCCTATTCTCAGCTTCCTGTAGAAAACCAATATTTTATCCATGCCAATATGTTATCATGTACACCATCAGTTTTAATAACCTACAATAACCTTTGATGTGGCATCATATCAAAATCCTTCTGGAAATCTAAGTACTTCTACTTGTTTTTGTTTATCTACAGCACAATTACTTAGAATCATAGAGATGTACAGCACAGAAACAAACCCTTCAATCCAACTTGTCCATGCCAAGCAAATATCCTAAATTAATAGTCCCTTTTGCCAGCATTTGGCCCATATCCCACTAAACCCTTCCTCTTCATATATTCATCCAGATGCTTTTTAATTGTACCAGCTTCCACCACCTCCTCTGGCAGCTCATTCCATACACACACCACCCTCCGCATGAAAATGTTGCCCCTTAAGTCCCTTTTAAACCTTTTCCTCTCACCTTCAACCTATGCTCTCTAGTTTTGGACTGCCCTACCCTGGGGAAAAGACCTTGGCTATTCACCCTATCCTTGTCCCTCGTGATTTTATAAACTTCTATAAGGTGACCCCTCAGCCTCTGACAATCCAGGGAAAATAGCCCCAATCTATTCAGCATCTCCCAGTAGCTCAAACCCTCCAATCCTGGCAACATCCCTGTAAATCTTTTCTGAACACTTTCAAGTTTCATAACATCTTTCCTATAGCAGCAAGACCAAATTTGAATGCAGCATTCTAAAAGTGACCTAACCAATGTCCTGTACAGCTGCAACATGACCTCCCAACTCCCATACTCAATGCACTGACCAATAAAGGCAAACATACCAAATGCCTTCTTCACCACTCTGTCTACCTGTGACTCCATTTTCAAGGAACTATGAACCTGCACCCCACGGTCTCTTTGTTCGGCACAACCTTCCCATTGAGCACATAAGTCCTGCCTTCATTTGTCTTATCAAAACGCAGCACCTCTCATACTTCTTCAAAGAACTCCAATAAAATAGTTAAACATGATTTCCCTTTCACAAAACCATGTTGGCTCTACCTAATTACCTTTAACTTACCCAAGTGTCCTGTTATTTTTAATAATATCTCAATTTTAATAATAACTCAACCTCTTCCCCCATGACAGATGTTAAGCTAACCAGCCCGTTAGTTCCTGCTTTCTGCCTCCCTCCTTTTTTGAATAAAGGAGTTGTGTTAGTTATTTTCCAATCTAAAGGAATCTGGTTACGCACCAATCACAGGAAGATTTTGAGGCAAAGGGATATTTTTTAAAGAAACACTGATCAGAAGAAACAGAAGAAGAGGCAAAACCGTTGGAAGACAGTGGGATAGTAGAATGAGTTTTAGATTACTCCAACTTTCTGAAGAAGGGTGCCAACCCAAAATGTCAACTTTCCTACTCCTCTGATGCTGCCTGGCCAGCTGTGTTCCTCCAGCTCCACACTGTGTTAACTCTGACTCCACATCAGCAGTTCTTACTATCTGTTTGGGAACTGTTCAGTTGTGTCGAATGGCCTCCTTCTGTGCTGTTAAGCTTCGATACAAAACTAAATTTTTGAACTCGTCATTTTTTCCAATTTTGAAATTGATGAAAAATGTATTTTAACTATAGTTAACCTGTAATTTTACATTATCTACATGATAACAGGGGCTCCATCTTTGTAACAATTATAATGAAATTGATCATGAACATTGAGAAAATGAAATAAATCAAGATGTGTGTTGATTAAAAGAAGACAAGCTTTAAAAGTGTCTAGGTTGAAGGGATTTAAATACAAACCAAAGCTCCAAGAACCTCCAAGAGATGCAATGACTCTTGCAATAGAGGAAATATTAAGATTCTGTTCAAGATCAAAGAGAAGTGACAGCCAGAATGTCAATAGAAGGACAAATAAAGGTGCAGCCAAACATGTCTGTCATACTAGCAAGCACCAATTTATTATATATTCCTACTTCTCAGGTTAGTGGAGGGATCTGCAAGCCATCCTTTCATGAAGGATATTAGCGGGCTATTTTTATTTCTACAAATATTTAGCCACTTTCAAAGCTATTTTCTGGTGGTGGCTACATTTACACATCTGTGACTGTGACACATGGGACTGTGAACTCTCCGCCTCTGAGTTCTTGGTCTGGCAGTATTGCCACTAGCCTACCTTGATAAGGAAATTGTCTTCAAACCTTTGAAAGACCTTGACTTCCTACACAGCACAACTTGTACATGGTGTATTAATGCAGAGTAGTTTCTTTTGGGGAAAAAAAGGCAAAATTTGATATTGTGTCAACAGGTGCATCGACAGACCCTTGTAAAATGCTGATTCCGAGAATGTATTATCACCTAAAGCTGAAACAGAAACTTTTAGTCTGAAAAAACAAACAGCTTTTGCCAGCATCAACTATCATTTTTTTCTTTTTATTCTTAAAGTATAAACCTCTCAAAGCTAAAATTTCAAAGTTGGGAGTAATGAATCGTACATGTTTAATGTAATGTTGGCTGACACCCATCCCAAGTGGCAAGCAGAATTGGGTGAAGTGGGAGTTTAAGTACAGGTCTAATGATGTAAAAACAATAATTCATCACTTTCTTTCCCCATTTCCAACTCCGAATTGGCTTTCTTCCTTGTTTAAAATAAACTACCTGATCTGTTGAGGAATTCATCTACGGCAGTGGTACTCCATAAATCATGAATGTTCTCCTTTATTCTAATTAATTTTGCTTCCTGTTTAATGTTCAGATGTTATCTCTTGTAGGTTAAATTAATTCTACTTTCCATGTAATAAGAATATTTGAGAGTGATGTACTGGCAGAGCTAATGGAGACTCTCATGTACACTGGTATAAAATGGTTTAGTCACAAATATCATTGCAAAAAATGTACTCGGATCTCAAATTCAATGATGCTGTTTGATGCAATGATGGGGTAGCAAGGGCCTGGATGGTATCTCAAAGTTCCTAGCAAATATCCAAAGAAGACAGAAGCTGTGGTTATCTTCTCTTTTATTCTCATTGACATTCTAATGCCTACATGCCCTGGAAGGCTCAGAAGAAACAGAGAAAGATGTCAAGAGTTCCTGTACTGATTAAAAATCCCATGCAACAATCAATTTTTTGTCACAGTAGAGCATTTGAAAATTAAATTGCTCCATGTTCCTACATACATTCTCCCAAGTTTATTCATAATGTTGATTTTATACACTAGGTAAAGCTCTAATTCACACGACAGAAAACTTTTTCACTCCTGATAAGGGAACGCGGTCTGGGTACCCAAAAGTCATAGTTGTTGTGGTGGATGGATGGCCCTCAGATGAAATCGAAAGAGCAGCAAATCTGGCCAGAGAATCTGGCATGAATGTTTTCATTGTCTCAGTTGCAAAAGCAATCCCAGAAGAGCAAAAGATGGTCCCAGACCCCACTTACATGGATAAGGTAAGCTCATTGCACCAGTTATTATCATTAGAACATAGAAAATGAGGCCTGAAGTCAGTTTTTGGCCAAGCTTGCTCCAATCGTCAATAAAATCATGGCTGATTGGAAGTGGCCTTAATTCCACTTCCTTGCCTGTCTTCATTACCTCGTCAATCAAAATTCTGTCTAACAAAGATTTCAATATATTCAATCAATTGCAACAATTAATGATTCTCTCAAAGAGATCATTCCTTATTTCCAGGTTAAATTGGAGACTCCTTATTTTCAAACTGTATTTCCTGGTTCTAGATTCTCCCTTAGCATTTGTGAAGCACCTCAGAATATTATATGTTTCAATAAGATCACTTCCCATTCTTCTAAACTCCAATGAATACAGCAAACCTTTTTTTAACCGGCATCTTATAAACTGGCATTCTTTGGCAAAAATTATACACCTGAAATGCCGGATTTTTACATTATTTGCACCTCTTGATTATTCAGAATATTTGATCAACCCGCAAACTCCTGGTCCTATAGGTGTCAGTTAATAAAAAGTTTGCTGTATCTGCCTAACCTGTCAATTTTTGCTCATTAGACAACCTCTTCAACTCAGGAATCAGCCTAGCACATCTAAATTGCTTCAATTACAAATATGTCCTTCCTTAAGTAATGTGCCCAAAACAGCACGCACTGCTCTACATGTGATTTCACCAATACCTTGCACAATTGTACCAAAAAACTAACTTACTTTTATGCTTCATCTCCCTTGCAATAAAAAGCAACATTCCATTTGCTGTTTTAATTTTATGCTGCACCTGCAAACTAACTTTTTGTACTGTATGTACAAGATACCCAGGTCCTTCTTTACTACAACGTCCTGTAGTCCCATTCCATTTAAAATTCTAACTTTTTCCATTCTACCTACCAAATTGAAAAGCTCACGTTCCCACATTCAACTCCATCTGCCAAAAGGTTTATTGATTCACTTCTCTCTATTGCAGACTCTTTGTGTACTTTCCTTGCGACTTGTTTTTCCTATCTAGCTTCGTACCACCAACAAATTTGGCTGCAACACAGTTGGTTCCTTCATTCATGTAATTAATATAAATCATAAATAGTTGAAGTCACAGCACTGATTCCTGAGGCAACTAGTTAAGGTTTGCCTTTCTGGTAGTTAGCCAGTCCACTATCCAGGCTAAAATATAACCCCAAAGTATGTGCTCATATCTTGTACAGTAACCTGTTTCGAGGTACCATATTGATTGTCTTTTGAAATTTAACAAAAAAAATCGCTGAGGCAATGTGGGTGTCACTAGCTGGGTCAACATTTCTTGCCTCGAACTAGTTGCCCTTGAGGTGGTGGTGAGCTGCCTTCCTGACCTGCTGCAGACCATTGCTGTAGGCAGACCCATGATGCCATTAGGGAGGGAATTCAGGATTTTGACTCAGCGATATTGAAGGAATGGTGATATATTTCCAAGTCAGGAAGGTCAGAGTCTTAGAGAGGAACTTGCAGGTGGTGGTGGTGTTCCCATCTATCTGCTGCCATTGTCATTCGAGAAGTAAATGTTCATGGGTTTGGAAAGTGCTAAAGAGCTTTGGTGAATGCAAATATATAACATACTGATTCACTTCTTTACATCCTCAAAGAACTCTAATAAATTTGTTAAACACAAACATGCATTAGAAATAGGTACAGACCATTCAGTCCCTTGAACCTGTTGTGCCATTAGAAAAGGTCATGGCTGAAAGTGGTATGGCTCACCATACTCTTTGACTCCTTTATTAGACAAGAATCTCTATACTTTAAAGTATTCAATGACTGTCTATACCATTCTACGATGAAGAGTTCCACAGGCTCTCAATATACAGAGAAAACAAAAATCTTCCTTATTGCCATCTTAAATGAGACACTTTTTTGAGACTCTGTTGCGAGTTCTATTTTCTCGTACAATGGGCTGGGGGTGGGACGTCTTTTTGGTATTCAAGTTGTCAAGTCTACTTAGGATCTTATAGGTTTCAATAAGATTGTCCATTCTTCTAAATCCCAGTGGATACAGACCCAAGATAATCCCCTCATCACGGGAATCAATTGAATAAAATTTCCCTGAATTGCTCCTAATGCAGCTACGTCCTTTCTTAAATAAGGAGGCCAAAACTGTACATTGTACTCAAAACATACATTGTGCAACTGTACAAGAAATTTTCTACTTCTATATTGTATTCCTCTTGCAATAAACAACATTGCACTTGCCTTACGAATTATTTGTTGCACCTGCACACAAATTTTGTGATTCATCTACTAAGAACGCTCTGTACCTCAGAATTCCACAACCTGTTTAAATAGTGTACTGCTTTTCTGTGGTTTCTGCCAAAGTGGACAAGTTCACTTTTTCTCACATTTTACTCCATCAATTTTTAGCCCATTCACTTAACTCATCTATATTAATTTGAAAATTCTTTGCAACTTATTTTCCTACTTTGTGTCATCAACAAATTTTCAACTATACAATCCTTTCACCAAAGTCTTTGGTAAATTTTTGAGGCCCCTGCACTGATCCCTGTGGCACTCCACTTGTTACATCTTGGAATCATGGCAACAACACAATATGCCTACTTGCTGTTTCCTGTTAGTTAAACAATCCCCTGGTATGCTCATATGTTACCACCTGTGCCATTAGCTCTTATTTTGCATAGCAATCTTTAATGTGGCAATACGGCAAATAACTCCCAGAAAACTAAGTACATGATTTCCATAAGTTCCCTTACATCTACATTGCCTGTTATTTCCTCCAACAATTCTAAACATTACACGATTATGATATTTCTTTCACAAAACCACACTGACATTGCCTGATTGCTTTGAGATTTTCTAAGTGCTGTCTATAGTATCTTCTTCATAATAATTTCCCTATGTGAAGCCAACTGTCCTAAAGTGTCCCCCTTCTTTCTTGAATACAAGAGATAGATTGACAAATTTCCAATCTGATGGGATCTTTTGAAAATCTAGGGAATATTGGAAAATTAAAGCTAGTGCATCTATTACCTCAGCAGCCACCCCTTTTTAAATCCCCAGACAAAATTCATCAGAACCTGGGGAGGTGTCAGCTTTTAGGTCTAATAATTTTCTCACTACACTTTCCTGAGTGATTCTAATCATTTTATGATCCTCCCTCTCTTTCAGCTCATAATCCAATTATCTCTGGGATGTTATTTGTATCTTCTGTAATAAAACCACATCCAAAATACCATCAATTAATTCTCCATTTCCTATTAATAATTCAGCAGACTTTTCTAGAAGATCAAATTCACTTTACTTACTCATCAGTTTACTTACTCTTTTTTTCCCTTCTTTAAAAACCCACAGAAGCTTTTACCATCTGTGTTATATTTCTAGGCAGCTTTTTCTTAGAATGGAATTTCTCCATTTTTATTATTCCTTCATTTTTTTGCTGCTTTTTATGTTGTCCAATTTTCTAAACTTGAATTATAGAATCCCTACAATGTGGAAACAGGCATTTGGCCCATCAAGTCCACACTGACCCTCCGAAGAGCATCCTATCCAGACCCAACCCCATGTAACTGAAACCCTGCATTTCCCATGGCTAATCCAGCTAGTCTGCACAATCCTGGCCTGGACACTACGGGGCAATTTAGCATGGCCAATCCTCCTAACAATCACGGGGTGTACGTGCAAACTCCTCGCAGTTACCCAAGGCTGGAATCAAATTCATGTCCCTGTGCTGTGAGGCTGCAGTGCTAACCATTGAGCTATAGTGCCGCCCCATGCCATGATACTTTTCATATAATTTGACATTGATTTTAACTTCCTTCGTTAGCCTGGGTAAGTGCCTTCCCTGATGGGCTTTCTCAAGGAATATATTTTTGCTGAATGTAATATCCTCATAAATGTCTCCCACTGCATTGTATTGACCGATTCTGTAACCTAATTTTCCAGTTCACTTCAGCCAGGCCTGCCTTCATATGCTCATAATTGCCTTTATGTTTGAAATACTAACCTTATACCCACTTTTCTCGCTCTTAAACCGAATGCAAAACTCAATCGTGACTGGTACCTAGAGACATATTCACCCTGAGGTCATTAATCCTATCTTATTGCACATTATCAATTCTAGAATATCTGCTCTCTGGCTCTTGAACATGTTGCACTCATCGTCCAGACTACCTTTGCCAATCTGATTCACCCAATATATATGTAGACGATAATTACTCATGATTATCACCATAACTTTCACTTAAGCTTCCATTATTTCTTCCTGCATATGCCGTCCAACAAAGTTCTTTCACAAAACCAAGACAACACTGATAGTATTACGATTTTCTAAATGTCCAGTTATTACTACTTTTTATTTTATGAATACTATTATTTTATTCATTCTATTTTATTAATGGATATCAGCATTAGTCCAGCTAGCCATTAGCTTCCTGCTTTCTGTTTCTTCCTTGAATAAAGGTGTCACATTTGCAACTTCCCAAACTATGAGGGCTTTTACAGAATCCAAGGAATTTTGCAAAATAACAACTGATGTATCCAATATATCTGCAGCCATTTCTTTTAAGACACTGGGATGCAGACAATCAGGTCCAGTGACTTGTCATCCTCAAAACTCATCAGCAATCCCATTAATTTTTCTCTTTAAGACTCGTTCTAAATTCCTTCCGCCTCTTCATTTTCAACTGTATTTCAGGTGCTTTTTGCATCCCCTACAGTGAAGATGAATACAAAATACTTTTTCAGAATCTTTGACATTTGTTTGATGGCTATTAATAACATTCCAATCTCACCTAAGGGACCATTGCATTCTTTAGCTAAACTTATTTTTAACATTTTTTAGAAGCTTTTAGTGTCTGTTTTTATACTTCTAGCTAGGTTTCCCTTTGATTGCAATTTCTCACCTTATTTTTGTCATCATGCTTTGCTGGTTTTTAAGACATCATTAATGGTCTGGCCAACCATTAATCTTTGTAGCATTGTCTTTCAATTTGATTTGCACCTTAAATTCCTTAATGGCCATGGATAATACACCCTCTGGTAGTCTTCCTTCCTGAATGAAATACTCTCTGAAAGTTATGAAACATCTCCCTAAATGCCTGCCACTGTATCTCCACCATCTTACTTTTAACCTATTGTCCCAGTTCACTTTAGGCAAGTCTACCTTCATAGCCATGTATTTGAAGATAGTAGTTGCAGGCACACATTTTTCACACTCAAACTGAATATGAAATTCTATAATATTATGATCACTCATGCCTAACGCACATTACCAGATCCAAAATAGCTTGGTCTCCAGTAGCTTCACGGATGTGTTGTTCAAAAAAAGTGTCTTGGATACAGGCTACCAACTCATTTTTCAAGCAAATTTGATTTTGCCCGATCAATATGGAGATTAAAGTCATCCCACTGTATAATTACTTGGGCTTGCAGACTGCTCCCACCAATGATGTATTCCCTTTGCTGTATCTTATCTCCAACCAAATTGATCAGACGCCTTGATCTCCTGAAACCAAAATCATTTCCCACAAATGAACTGACCTTATCATTTATTATCAGAGATACGCTAGTTCCTTTGCCCTTCCAAACCATTAAATATCTTTAAACATTCAGGTCTGAGTGCTGGCCACACTGCAATCATGGCTCTGTAATTGCTAACAGACTGCAACCTACAGCCTTTCAATGTGACAAATTAAATAATGCAACCTGTTGTATTCTACATTTCTAGTAATAAATAAGATGAAACATTTGCAATCCACATCAACTGATATTTCAATAGTTCCCCTTAGCACTTTGTCATGTGCATGTGTTTGCCTATCAATTATGAAAGCTTTGCTTTTTGCCCTCATTATCTCCTAACTTTGTTACTCCTTTTAATAGGTGTAACAAATATTGTTTAATCTGTGCATTTCTTAAAGGTTTCTGAGCACATATTATGAAATTAACAAATTTGCTACATTTTACATATTTCGAAAAGTGACAGATTCATTGAAACACATCTTGGCTAGATACACACTTCAGGAGAACCATAAGCAGAAAGCCTAAATACAGTTGATAATTTGCAGAAATTGTAATGGGTTTACCACAAATTCCATCATATTGTGGACAAATGTGCAGAACAATTTGTGAATGAAGTTGTTGGACTGAATTCTGGTTTATAGCATAAGAGCGATCTCACAGTGCTTCGTTATCAGTAACAATTACACCAAAAACAAGCAAGCTTTAGAGGGTTCAGTCATCTGTATTATTTCATGCAACATTTTATTTCTAAGCATTTAATGTCAGCAAAATCTAACATTAGCAATAAATATTGGTTTCTTTACTACTATAAATTTCACCAGCATTTAGATGTTTGTTAATTCCATTTACGCATATCATATGTAGACTTTAACTCAATATTACTCAAAAATGATTGTCTCCAAACCAAGAGCAAATGTGGCAAAAATTCCTTGCCATCACCTGTAGTATTGCTCGATGATTACTTTGCACCTTTTTCTTTGCTTTCACAGATTGTTTGCAAAAACAATGGGTTCTTTTCCTATGCTATTCCAAACTGGTTTGGGACGTACAAGTTTATAAAACCTTTAGCACAAAGGTTGTGCTCCTACAGCCAGATGACATGTAGTAGAACTTGTTACAATTCAGTAAACCTTGGCTTTCTTATCGATGGATCCAGCAGTGTTGGGGATGCCAATTTTCGCACTGTTCTAAGCTTCATCACTGAAATTGTGAAATCCTTTGACATTCATCAGATTGGTGCAAGAGTTGGTGCTGTCCAGTTCACATACAATCAGAGAACTGAATTTGAGTTTGGTGATCATTTAACAACGGATTCAGTGCTAAATGCTATCAAGACTATCCCTTACTGGAGTGGTGGCACAGCCACTGGGGAAGCAATTACTTACACCACAAAGAATTTGTTTGGAAAATTGAAGAACAACAACCTGAATGTGCTGATCATCATCACTGATGGCCAATCTTATGATGATGTTGAGGCTCCAGCAACTGTGGCACATCAATCAGGTAACTATTGTTTGGATGTTAAAAACATACATCAGCTACGTTAGTGCAAATTTGGGGAATTCTTTTCACAATAACTTAATATTTAAAGTAATTTATATATAAAAATACCATTCAGTTTACACTTCACACTCCTGGGGCTTCTGACACCACATCATTTCCCAGGTGAGGAACAAAACAGCCAGTACGCTCCCAGAGATCTACATATGCTGGTGCAACTAGTCAGAAGGAGCTGCTTAGGTTTAATTGTCGGAGATAACAAGGTGTAGAGCTGTATGAACACAGCAGGCCAAGCAGCATCAGAGGAGCAG